ATGTCAAGTGTTATCTTCTAAATTCTTTTATTATTCTCTCTTCTAAATAGCATGTATCAAACACTAGCATAAAAAGAGCCATATTTTAGAAAATACACCAGTTTGTCTGATGATCGCAAAAGCGTGAAACCCAAGGTTACAAAATCATATCCATAAAACTGAATATGTCACTGATATTGAGCACTTTCCACTAAGTACTGCATATATATATATATATATATATATATATAAAAATGTAGAGATAATAGGACAAATTGCAAAAGCTATTCAACTTTGTGTATTGCTCCTTAGAGTCAGCATCCTCATGCTAGAATGAGAGACAAACCCATGTGTGGGAAAAGAGTTTTGGGAAGAAAGTAAAAGTTTCTTATGCTGAAGCCACTAATGTCTGTAGGATTTGAAATTTTCTCCACTCCCTGTACCTTTTCTATAAATACTTTCATGGTAATTGCTCTGATGTACTTTCCTCTCTGACACTTAGACTTAATGAATTTAAGTGCAGTACTTGATTGGTGGCAAGGTCTCATCATTTTACAGTTTAAATGGCTAGATGTAACCGTAAGTTCTATTCTCACACTTTCTTCTATCACCTGTGGAACTTTCTTCTGTCTTCTTCCTTTCCTGTCAACTTTGATCTTCAAAAATTTAAATATAATGTCAATCGTTGTCTTCTTAATTCTTATTTTATTTTTCTTTAATGTTTTTTTTTCATATAATTCTTTCACACTCAGTAACTAATTAGAGCGAATGAGTATTTTGACACATTTCTTTAATACTACCTGTGATAGCAGTTATTTTTACACCTTTGAGTTTTTTCTCTCGAATTTTAATTAGGCTTCCTATTCAATTATTGGAAATTTGTTTTTAAAAAGCTTGACAATAATTTAAATAAATTCAGCATTTTTATAATGATTAATGAAAGTCCCGACTTACGTAGATTCATAGTTAGAAAGCAGTTTCCATTAATCTTGTTTCGACTTATACCGTTTGCTTCGTACATACGACGCAAATTACCGATAAAAAAAGAAAAAACAAACCTGAGTTTGTTTTTTTCTTCCCCAGAAGTGCTACAGCTTCGTCATCTCATCTACCGAGAGCCAATGTCATCACTGGCAATAAATATACAAGCAGCTTCAAACAATTTCATTTCATTATATGTATTATATTTATGTCTTCCGTATCTTTTTGTAGTCCTAATTATGTTAACATATGTCATAGAAATGCGTTGTTATGTTCTAGATTATTACTTTACTATTGCATTAGCATAGGTGAGTGACGTAAGTGCTTATTCACGGAAAATATCGGGTACGTTCCGACCTACACGGAAAATCGCGTTCCGACGCATCGTCGGAACTGAACTCTGTCGTAAGTCGAGGATCCCTTGAATAAATAAATTGCGTGTGAGTAACAACAACCACAAAGTCACTAGTAGTGATAAAAAAAAACCCATACGGCTTAAAATATTTATGATAGAAAAAGTTCAAGAAAGTCATAATGGAAAGCATATAATATATATATATATATATATATATATATATATATATATATATATATATATATACACTGCGTGCCAAATTATTATATTTTTTTCTAATATTTCAAAAATCGTCCAATTAATTCACACAAAATTTTCACACAATGTTAGCAACACTGACCTGCGCAATCACCGAAATTTTCGTACTGATCTGCGCAATGTAAGCAAACTGGCGCCATATTTGTTATCAGCACAGTGATTTGAGCGTGCCACATTATTAGAAAAGTGTAAGAATTTAGTGAAAAGATGGGCCGTAAAAGCAGTTTAATGATGCTGAAAAGAAAACTATCACCTCAGAACTCTCAAAAGGTAAATCTACCCTAGAAATTTCTAAAATGATAGGGAGGTGTCATCAAACAGTGAAAAAGTTCACCGCCGACCCTACACAAGTACGCAAAAGGGCAGGTAAAGACAAGCCGAGGGTTATTTCACGTCGTCTCATGTCACGACTTAAACGAGAGGCCACGAAGAACCCTGGACTTACCAGTCAAGAGCTTTTCAGTCGCATTGGGGATCCTACTGTGTCTAAAAGTACTCGGTGTCGGTATCTGAGGGGAAATAGCAACAATAGTCCAACCTGTATCGAAGCCTCCATTGATGAGAAATCACATTCAAAATCGATTGAAATGGGCCGAGGACAATATGAAGATTGACTTCTCTAAAGTTTTGTTCACAGACGAAACTCGAACAACACTTGATGGGCCAGATAGATGGTGCAAAGGCTGGGTAATGAACGGAAAGAATCGCCATCAGCGTTTGAGACGCCAACAAGGCGGTGGAGGCATAATGATCTGGGGTGGTATTATTGGAAAAACATTAGTGGGCCCATGGAGAGTACCAGATGGCGTCAAAATGACTGCTGATGCATACATATCGTTTATGAAGGAGCATCTTGAATAATGGATGAAAAGGCAAAAATTTGCCTTCAGAAGGGCCATTGTTTTTATGCAAGATAATGCTCCCTCACATGCTGCTCACAAGACTACTGAATATTTGAAACAGGCTTTGATGGACCTCGAAAAATGAAGTGGCCAGCAATTTCTCCAGATTTGAACCCAATCGAAAACCTTTGGAGCATCATGAAGCGAAGACTGTACGACAACGAACGACAATTTAGGAGCAACGCTGAGTTGTGGGAAGCAATTCTTGACATATCTTGCGGCATTACAGCAGATGACATCCTACAATTAACAAATTCTATGGATCGTCGACTTCTTCAAGTAATTTCAAAACAGGGAAAGCACATTCCCTATTAATTTGTTTAAAACTGTGCCTTTGTTTGTATCTGTTATTATTTGTTTGATTATCTTATTTATTAGCTTCTTTTGATCATAAATATTCCCGTGCAACATTAATAAACGTTTTGTTTGCTCAATTCTGGGAATTTTACTAAAGCTTTCTAATAATTTGGCACGCTCAAATCACCGTGCTGATAACAAATATGGCGCCAGTTTGTTTACATTGCGCAGATCAGTACGAAAATTTCAGTGATTGCGCAGGCCAGTATTGCCAACATTGTGTGAAAATTTCGTGTGAATTGATTGGACGGTTTTTGAAATATTAGAAAAAAAGTTATCTCGATAATAATTTGGCACGCAGTGTATATATATATATGGGAAAAAGAGGTTGAAAATCAACTGGAGTCTTTAAGAATATTTATTTAGAGTAACTTTACCGTGTTCCCAATTCTATGATTTTCAAATTGAGATGGAGAGACGTGTAGCTATGCCCTGATCTGTTTCGCAGCTGACTGGAATTGAAGAATTATTTCCGTTTTATACAAAAAAATATGGCTCCGATTGATATCTGTTTAATATTCAATCCGATTGGTTGATTATGATCACGTGATCAGGCATAGTGATTTTTACGCCAAAAATGGATGACTTTAAAATTTTGTTGTCAAAAGTTGAGAGTGTCATAGTTCAGTGAGTGTGGCCAATGACAAGAAAGTGACAAGTAGTTCAAGTGTCAGGAATACAATTTTATTGGAAATTAGTAGCAATCCCCAAAGGATTAAATTTCTCTCTCTCTCTCTCTCTCTCTCTCTGTGTGTGTTTGTTGTGTAGAAAGAGTTTTACTGTTTCCTACTTTGTAGTAATGTGGAGATGTATACAGGGGATGCAAAAGTAGGTATACAGTAATGAAAGACAAAACGTGCGCACAAAAAAATATTGTATTGATGATACAAACATCAGTATTGGTATAATACTTACTATATACCTACTTTTTCAGCCCCTATATATATATATATATATATATATATATATATTATAATTATTTTTAAAAAAATATGATTCCATCGCTACATAAGAATTCTCATGTTTCAAAAACAAGCTAAAAACTTCAATTCAATTATAGAAATTAAGTTAAAGTACCTAGTTAAATTAACTTAAATTAAAGTACCTAGTTCTGTCATGTAATTATAATATAGGCTCTACTTGTGTATCGAGCACTGTTTTTTTTTTTAAATAAAAGCAAAAATATTAAAGAAATTTAGATTATTAACCTAACGGTCCTTTCCTATTTTTTCTATATATTTACACACATAACATATATATATATATATATATATATATATATATATATATATATGTGTGTGTGTTAGTCTGAGTTATTCCAAATAATATATATATTATTCTGAGTTATTTCAATATATATATATATATATATATATATATATATATATATATATATATATATATATATATTTGGAATAACTCAGAATTATTCAAAAAATTTCGCTTGAGGATGATACAGAGCTTGATACTTCAATCCAATTTAATTTTAATAATTATATTGAAGTTTTCGGCTCTTGTTTTTGAAACATGTGAACTCTTATGTAGCGAAGGAATCCTATTTTTAGAAAATAATTATAAATATATTTGAGGCTCTACTTTTGTATTGAGCACTGTTTTTGAAAAATAAAAACAAAAATACTAAAGAACTTCGGATTATTAACCTAACGTGTTTTTCCTATTTTTCTATATATTTGCGCACGCGCGTACACACACACACACACACACACACACACACACATATATATATATATATATATATATACATATATATATATAAATCAAATATTAACAAATTTTAACCAAACTTGCATGTATCTGAACATGCTTTCCTTTCCCTTTTGATCGCGTGTTGACAACGTGATTTAACCTGATGAAACCCAGACAGTGAAACGACTCTGAAACTCTCTGAAACCCTGCAGAAGCGAGAAAGGGTCAGTGACCTCTTTTCGTTCACACAGAAAAAAGGTCCATATTTGGAAATCAAGGACCACGTGACGAAACCAAGGCGTGAAAAAAAAAAACAAAAACGAACAGCGCAAATTTGGACAGGTTTAGGTCGCCAAAACAAACGGATGGAATTCGCTATAATTTCACGTATGAGAAACAACCTTCCTACGGTATTTACACGGAATGGATTATTTGTCAGAAAGACGACAGCCAGCTATCAATTAAGATATACGAATGGAATAGAAATCTAAGATAATTTCGAAGCTCATACAGCTTGAACAAAGTTTAACCCCCAAAAAGAAGTAAACATTGGCAAGAGAAAAAGAAGTTGTATCGAAACCAGAAGAAAGATGCACGTTACCCTGAGAGCTACGAAATGACAGCTTCAATTGATTCGTCACACAAGCCCCGAGACCTTTTCCATCCTGGGTATGACGATAAATTACATCCGCGTCCTGGGTATCACGATAAACTACGTCCAACAGCAAGACCTCTGATCAGGCGGATTTGAGGAGCCCTGAACCACCTCTTAATTGTTGGTGTTCCCAGGTCCACCCTGACCCGGGGTGGCAGCATCTGTTAGGGTTCCAGCTATGGGTAAATAATTAACCCCAAAACTGGGGTCAAAACATTATGAAAGTGTAAAAATAGGTTTTAACACCAGAAACACTTTGTAAAAAAATATTACCAGGAATACATTTTTGAAAAAAAAAAAATATTACCAGCGATACATATTTGAAGGAAAAATGTTACCAGAAATAGATTTTTTGAAGGAAAAAATCTTACCACAAATAGATTTTTGAAAAAAAAATATTACCAAGAATAAAAATGTTGTCGGCATTAAATAAGCCATTGAGGTTGATATGCCGTAAAACAAACCAAACCAAAACCCCAAGACCAGAAACAAGAAAAAAGAAAGACATCTAAAGAAACGAAAAGAGAAAGAAAGAGATCTAAAAAAAAATATAAAACAAAAAAAAAGAAACGAAAAGAGAAAGAAAGAGATCTAAAAAAAATATGAAACAAAAAAAAAGAAACGAAAAGAGAAAGAAAGAGATCTAAAAAAATATAAAACAAAAAAAAAAGAAACGAAAAGAGAAAGAAAGAGATCTAAAAAATATAAAACAAAAAAAAGAAACAAAAAGAGAAAGAAAGAGATCTAAAAAAATAAAAAACAAAAAAAGAACGAAAAGAGAAAGAAAGAGATCTAAAAAAATATAAAACAAAAAAAAAAACGAAAAGAGAAAGAAAGAGATCTAAAAAAATATAAAACAAAAAAAAAACGAAAAGAGAAAGAAAGAGATCTAAAAAAAATATAAAAAAAAAAAAGAAACAAAAAGAGAAAGAAAGAGATCTAAAAATATAAAACAAAAAAAAAAGAAACGAAAAGAAAAGAAAGAGATCTAAAAAAATATAAAACAAAAAAAAGAAACGAAAAGAGAAAGAAAGAGATCTAAAAAAATATAAAACAAAAAAAAAGAAACAAAAAGAGAAAGAAAGAGATCTAAAAAAATATAAAACAAAAAAAAGAAACGAAAAGAGAAAGAAAGAGATCTAAAAAAAATATAAAACAAAAAAAAGAAACGAAAAGAGAAAGAAAGAGATCTAAAAAAAATATAAAACAAAAAAAGAAACGAAAAGAGAAAGAAAGAGATCTAAAAAAAATATAAAACAAAAAAAAAGAAACGAAAAGAGAAAGAAAGAGATCTAAAAAAATATAAAACAAAAAAAAGAAACGAAAAGAGAAAGAAAGAGATCTAAAAAAAATATAAAACAAAAAAAAAGAAACGAAAAGAGAAAGAAAGAGATCTAAAAAAAAATATAAAACAAAAAAAGAAAAGAGAAAGAAGAAAGACACAT